CCCGCGCCCGAGCCCCCGCCTCCGGCCCGCGCGGCCCCCGCCTGGAGTCCCGGGCCCACGGGAGGGACGCGGCGCTGCTGGTCCCGCCGAGCGACAGCCCCTGTCTCCCGGCGCGCGGCTCTTCCAAATAAAGCGGCTGGCCGTGGCCAGGCCTGGGGGTGTTGCCCGGCCCCTGGGGGCTCGGCTTCCTCTCCCAGCTGGCTCATCTGGCCAGGAGGCCAGGGACCTGCACTGGGTTCCAGTTCCACCTCCCCGGAGGGCCATGGAGCCAGGGGCCACGTAAAAGGAGGAGTGAGGGGGAAAGGCAGAAGAGACGGGAACCTTGTGGGCTGCCGAGCTGAGAACCCGGGCCAAAATGTATCTAAAACAGGAGGAAGTGAACGCAGAGAATCCCTGGCAAAGGGGCTAGGAAGCCAACCACAGGCTTGAGACCAGGTATGGTGGCAAGTCCTCCGGGAGAGGGGGAGCAGATGTCAGCTCCGGGAACTCAAGTCCTGGACTGAAACTGGACGCCTAATGGGTCATCATACTCCAGAGACAAAACAGAACAGGTAGCCAGACCCATTCCATAGCGTCTGGTTTACCCAACGCAGAATGGAGCTCTGGAGGGTCAGCTTGGCTGCAACCAAGGCCATTTGTTCCAAAGCTCCTCTGGGTGATTCGAACAGCCAACCTTCCTATTAGTAGCCAAGCACAAACTCTACTCAGAGACCAAATTAAAAACTCTCACTCTGCTGATTCTAATCTGGCTCATGGTGAAATTATAAAGTGGAACTTTTCTATCAGACTTGAGGCTGTAAATCTGTAGGGAAGATTACCTCATCTTTCTTTGGCAGAGCTTGATAGGTTTGAATCGCTGGCCTTAAATTAACAGGCCAGTGTTCAAGCCACTGTACTGTTAGGGACCATCACCCGTGGGCTGCTAAATCAACCAACCAACCCAAACCTTTTGTCATCAAGTTGATTCCAACTTACCTTCTGGGTACAGCACTTGTCTGTCAGATGCTGCACAGTCGCAGTGTTCCCAGGTTAAGAGAGACCAGGAAGAAGGCTTACTCTACTCCGCGGCCCTCATGCCTGCCTTTAATTGTTTCTGGTGAAACATTCTTCTAGGTTGTGTAACCCTGGTATGTCCAATTGCTGTTCAGAGGTAACTCGTGGTTGCTGTGAAGCCAAATACTGTTACCCATGGTGGACAGTTTTTGGTGGAGCTCCCCTGTTAAAACAAGCTTGGAAGCAGGAGTGGCATCCACTTCCACAGTAGCTTGCCTCTGGAAACCCTATGAACCTGGAGAAAGGACAAAAGTTATACAGGAAGGGTCCAGGACTTCATTCGTAGGGTCTCTATGAGTCGCCTGCAACTCGATGGCACTTAACAACAACAAGGAAGAAGGAGCAGCTATTCTGAAATCACAGGCCTTCAAAGACCCTATGAGTGAAAAAACTCAAATAGAGCACTGGAGGCAGAGTCCTCAGATTGGAAGACACTAAAAAATGAGGAGGAGGAGGAGGAGGAGGAGTTAGAAACATTCACTAATAATGAGAATGTCAGATGTATGAATGTAGGAAAGTTGGGCATTGTAAAAAATGAAATGGAATGAATAAAGATTGACATACTAGGTGAGCTCTGGTGGCCTAGTGGAAAGAAGCTGCACTGCAATCCCAGAGGTGCATGGTTCAAATCCACCAGATGCTCTGCTGGAGAAGGAGGGACAGTCTCCTCCAGTTAGCAGTCAGATCCAAGTTGATGGTACACTCACACACACACACGAATTTTTTTTAAATATTGACATACTAAACTGAGTGGATTTGCACTGACCACTCGAGTCAGACAATCATGTTATCTATTATGCTGAGAATGAAAAAGTGAGGGGGAGAGGGGTTGCATTAATAGTAAAACAAACAAACAACCATTTCTAAACCCATCCTGAAGTACGATGCTGTGAGGACACTATATTATCCATCCATATCCAAGGAAGACCTGTTAGCACAACTATCAATCAAATAACTAAGTAAGTTAACTAACTTATAACTAAAGCCAAAGAGGAGGAAATGGAAGACTGTTCCCAACTTTTGCAGCCTGGAATCAATTGAACATGCAATCAAGATTCCTTAACCATAATTGGCGACTGGAATGCAAAAGCTGGAAACAATGAAGGATGTTGGTAGTTGGAAATGGATTTGGTGACAAATGAGGCAAGAGATAGAATAATTAAATTTTGTACAATCAATTTATTCATTGCAAATACCTTTCATAAGCAGCACAGTGATTATATGCATGGACCTCACCTGATGGACTACACATGAATCAGATTGATTAGATTTGGGGGAACAATCGTTGGAGAAACGAAGTAGCAGCTCTGAAAACTAGAGCAGGTGCTGACTCTGGAACAAGTAATCGACTACTGATGTGCAAGTTCAAATTGAAGTTAAAATGAAAACAAATCCATAAGAATTTATATATGTGGAACCAAAATATACCTTTTCTATCCCACTTAAATTTAAAAAGCATCTCAGGAGCAGGTTTGAGGCATTGAATGCTAATGAATGAAGACCAGATGAGCTGTGGGATAGCGTCAAGGATATTAACCATGAAGAAAGCAAAAGGTCATTACAATAAAGTAAAGCGGTTCAGAAAAGAGAAAACTTAGAAAAATGTCATTACAAAGCTAGAGAAGGAAGAAAAGACCAAAATGGATGGCAGAAGAGATTCTGAATATTGCACTAGAATGCTGAGAAGTCAAAGCAAAGGGAAGAAATGACAAAGTTAAAGAGTTGAACAGGAGATTTTAAAGGGCAGCTTGTGAAGGCAAAGCAAAGTGTTATAGCAAAACGTGCAAAGAGAGGGAATCAGAAAATCAAAAGTGAAGGACTTAATTCAGCATTTCTCAAGTGGAAAGAACTGAATGACAAAATTCAAGCCTTAAGCTGCACTACTGAAAGATGCTATGGGCAAAATCTTGAATCATCCAGGAAACATTGAAAGAAAATGGAAGGAATACACAGTCACTGCCCCAAAAAGAGTTGGCTGGTATGGAATCATTTCAGGAAGTCCCATATGATCAAGATTCAATGATAATGAAAGAAGAAGGTCAAGCTTCTCTGAAGGCATTGGCAAAAAATAAAAAATAAGACCCGGGAATTGATAGAATGTCTATTGATATATTTCAACAAACATATGCAGCCTTAGACGGTGCTTACCAGCTTGTGCAAAGAAAGGTGGAGGACAGCTACCTGGCCAACTGACTGGAAAACGTCCATATTTATTCCCATTCCTAATAAAAGTGATCCAAAGGAATGTGGAAATACTTGAACAATATCATTAATAACACATGCAAGCAAAATCTTGCTGAAGATTATTTTTTAAAATATGGCTAGAACAGTAAGTACGTCAGCAGAAAACTGCCAGAAATACAAACCTGATGTAGAAGAGGCCATGGTGCTAGGGATAACATTCCTGATTTCAGATGAGTCTTTTCTGAAAGCAGAGAGTAGCAGAAGGATATCTACTTGTGTTTTATTGATTATACAAAAGCATTTGACTATGTAAATCACAACAAATTATGGCAAACATGGAGAAGAATGAGAATCCCAGAACACTTGATTGTGTTCATGTAAAACCTAGACCTAGACCCGGAAGCTATTGTCCAGAGAGAGCAAGGGAATACTGTATGGCTCAAAATCAAGAAAGAAGTGTGTCACTGTTATCTCCATTCTCCATGTCTTTTCAATCTATACGTTAAACAGATCATTTGAGAAGCTGGGCTGTATGAGAAAGAGTGTGGCATCAGAATTGGATGAAGACTTATCAACAACATGCATTATGCACATGACACAACTTTGCAGAAAGAGAGGAAAACTTAAAGTTCTTGCTGCAGAAAAGCAAGGACTACAGCCTTCAGTATTAATCACAGCTCAATATTAAGGAAGCAAAAATTCTCACCATGGGGCCAATAGACAGACAGCATCATGGTGGGAAAGGACTGAAGTTGTTAATGATTTCATCTTACTTGGATCCACAATTAACACCCTTGGCACCAGCAGTCAGGAAATCAAAGTCAAGTTGCATTGAGAAAACTTGCTGTCAAGGACCTCTCTGGAATGCTACAGCAACAATGCTATCTAAAGACCAAGGTGCCCTGATCCAAGCCACGGTCTCCTCACTTATTTGCTGTGCATCTGAAAGCTGGAAAATTACGAAAGATGACAGAAGAAGAATCAGTGCATTTGAGTTGTGGTGCTGGAGAAGAATATTGAATGTCCCATGGACTGTCAAGAGAATGAAGAAGTCTGCCCTGGAGAAAATGAAACCAGGTTGCTCCTGGGAGGCAAAGACAGTGACTTTTGGCATGTAGTCAGGAAAGGCCAGTCCTTGGAGAAGGACATCCTGCTTGGAAGGGTCAGCACAAGAAGGGAAGACTCGGAATTGTGCTTCCACCATCTTTCCGTCCCTCAGCCAGATGGGGCCCAGAGAAGTTTCTGTAAAAACCATTATGATGGCCGCCCAAGGAGAACCCCAAGTTCAATTCAAACTCATGTTGGTGAGTGATGGTGGTGCTGGAAAAATGATGTTGGTGAAACGTCATCTCACTAGTGAATTAAGAAGAAGTGTGCAGCCACCTTGGGTGTGGAAGGGCATCCCCTCATGTTCCACACCAACAGAGGACCGACTGAATTCAACGTGTGGAGTATGGTTGGCCAGGAGAAATGTGGGGGACTGAGGGATGGCTATTATATCCAAGCCCAGTGTGCCATTATAATGTTTAATGTAACATCAAGAGCTACCTACAAGAACATGCCTAACTAGCGTAGGGATCTGGTTCAAGGATGTGAAAACATCCCAATTGTGTTGTGTGGCAACAAAGTGGA